ATTCTCTCACACTCACTTCTCCCTCTCATTCTCACTCACTCAAATTCTTGCAAAAGGTATATTCTCTCCAAATTTTAAATTTTTTTCATTAATATGTGTTTTTGGAGTTAGTTTTGAGTTTATGCCAATTTTTTGTTATTATTTTATGTTATTTTTATGTTATTTGACAATATTTATTTTATTTTTTTTGTAGGGAATCGTCGAGACTTTTACGGCTAAAGTTGAGGATAATTTGGGAATCCTCCGCCACTACCACCACAATAGGCTTGTAGATTTTATTATTGTACTTTGTTAATTTATGTGTACATTTTGAATATTATATATATTGGATAATTTGACCACTATTTTTTATATGTAATTTTATTTTGAATATGTCAATTTAAATTAAAATAATTAAAAAAATAAAATCATACAATTAAATTAAATTTAAAAAGTAAAATTTTGAAAAAAATTAATATAATGAAATTGATATAAGAGAAATAATAAAACAAAATGTCAAAATATTTCGTCACCCAAACTATTAAACTAGTTTATTTTAAGTAAAAAAAATTTTAACACAAAATTTTAAAAAAATTGAATATTTCGTCGCGCAAAGATTTGCGCGACAATAGAATTCGTCGCGCAAAGATTTGTGCGACACTAGGATTCGTCTCGCAAAGTTATATTATTCGTCGCGCAAAGTAGATAATATTCGTCGCGCAAAGTAAATAATATTCGTCGCGCAGAGTAGTTAATATTCGTCGCGCAAAGTGGTAAGTATTCGTCGCGCAAAGTGGTTAGTATTCGTCGCGCAAAGTGGTTAAGATTCGTTGCGCAAAGTAGCTTTGAGCGACGTTAGTATTCGTCGCACAAAGAATATTTTTTGTCGCGCAAACCCTTTCTTGACGATCTTTGCGCAACAGAGCTTGCGCGACCAAAATTTCGTCATGCAAAGTTTGCGCGACGAAATTGTACTTTGCGCAACAAACTTATTTCGTCGCGCAAAGTGTTTTTTGTAGTAGTGTTAGATGGTCTGATATAAAGTTACCTCTAGATTGGGTTTTAACAACTAAATGCCCCCCCTAAGCCGGTTCAACGTAGTCTAAACGATTTAGATTACATTCAACGTTATTTAGATGGTACAGTTAAGATTAGTTTTGATAGACCAGTTAAATCCACAGTCCAATTAGAACAGTTACCGATGCCTAGTCAGTGCTTTAAGCTCCCAGCTAGACATTCGTCAGCTGAGTCATCCTCAATAACAGAAAGAGATTTAGAAGCTGATAGAGCCCTAATTGATCTTAAAATTAATGAATTAGGAAAACAAAAGCAAGTAGTTCAACCAAGATACGGAAAAGCCCCTACTGCTCCTCCTGAGCCAGTTCAACCAGAGTCACCTACTCGTACAAATTTTGAAGGTTCCACCTTTGAACTTTGTGATGCCCAGTTAAGAGTTCTTAGTAAACCATTTAAAATTCATTGGTCCAAGTTAGATGCCCATTTCCAAGCCCCTGAAAATGCCGAAAGAAAAGCCAAGTATCATGATTCCTTCCCCAAAGCTCAAAGAAAAGAAATTTTCAATGAGTGGAAAGAATATCTAAAAGTAACT